TTTTACCAGGAATAAAGAAGAGAAGGCAAACAAGCCAAGATCAGATACGTATGATGCACGATCCTCGTGCACTAGTATCCCAGAGGTCAGTGGTTCGAGTCCCGTACAGGCCTGATTTTTTTCAGGTCTGATTTTCGCTATTGCTTAAATAGCGCTATCTACTGCGAGGATCGTGCATCATACGTAAATTGAATTCAGAAAATCATTGCTCAGTATTGTCTTGGAAACAGGTCATGTTTTCTTTGTGCGAATCATCATAATTCAACACTCACAAAATGAAATTTTCGCACGTTCCAACTAGATCCGAAGGTTTAAGATTTCGAGAAAACACATACACAAAGTGAACTTTCTGGTCTTGAGTTGCGATGAACGTTTACATTGGTTGTCATCTTAAACAGAAGACGAAACATCTAGAAACTCCTCCTTTTTGCAGGTTTTAACGGGATATCGCGAAAACAAAACCAATAACCTGGCAAGCCTCTAATTTGTTATGATACCACGCATGTTATTATTTTCATCACTGAAGTTATCATGATCATACTAATCATGCACCATTATTGTCATAATTATAAATTTTGATAAATTTTGATATTATCATAAAAATTTATATCAGTATTATTAGAATTATCATTATAACAATGTCTAGAGCCTTTTTTTTCTAGACCGTAATAATCGAATTCTCCGTGTTCTCTTTTCACAGCTGGAGAGGCATGGCTTTCTAGACGTAAGAGCATTATTATTTTAGCTTGAAAGTCTTATTGATTTCAAAACTCTTTTGAAAGTTTAACAAAACAAAGCGAAGTTCAGGATAACAAATTTTGGTAACAAAGCTATTTGTTGGTAGACAAGATATCTATTGTAGTATATATAGCTTAGAAACACCACATTCTTTGATCTACAACATATTAATAGAGCTTTCATTTTTTCTTTGATTCTTTTCCAAGATTTCATGTGATCTAATAATAAGAACAATAATAATAAATAATGTTTAAAGAGGTTACTCCCATCACATTGAGTGGTTTTCAGGGAGGTTCGCTGACTATAAATACATACTGTAGGAATTCTTCTTTTAATTTTTTCAGTTTCTAACGAAAGATATTCAAATGGAGGTTTAACCCCCTCAGGCACAAACGCGGTCGTCCAAAAACGCCGCAATTGTTTAACTCAACGTGCGTGATTTCGATTATTCAAGTCCCGAGCATTCTTTCAACTTTGAACTTTTTTCAGTTTTTTTCAACTTTAATTTTTTCAGTTTCTAACGAAAGATATTCAAATGGGGGTTTAACCCCCTCAGGCACAAACGCGGTCGTCCAAAAACGCCGCAATTGGTTTAACTCAGCGTGCGTGATTTCCATTATTCAAGTCCCGAGCATTCTTTCTACTTTGAACTTTATGTCATTCTTTCGATTCCATCGGAAAAGAGAGAAATAGGAAAAAACCAGTTGCTCCTGCTCCCCCTCCTCCACCGGCGTCATCTCCTGTGAATTCGGCACCTATGGCTGGGATAACTCCAGTGGAGGTCGCCGGTACGTAAGAAATCTGCAGTTTTGATTAAATTGATTAAATTCGTAATTTGCCAATTAGCTTGTATTACAGATTTGTTACCACTGGTGGTAAGAAATAC